TACTTGGGACTTCCCAAATAGGTTTCAATTATCACAGTTTCTTGGTCTTTTATATACTGAAGCTCCTATGTAAACATGGTGTTACCAAGATTACAGGTTCTGAAACCCAACTGATCAACCATGACCATCACTATATCACAGGCTTATTTTTCGAAAACATCATCTGTGGGGTTCGAACTTTGGACCTGCCACTTGGTGGGGTAATGACTAGACCACTTCACTAAGCCACCACACTCTTAATTTATATTTTATTAATATACATATAAATAATATATATATATATTTTAATTAGAATTCTGAATCTTATATTAAAAGTTATTTGTAATGAATATTTGTATCAATACATTATTGAAAAATTAACTTCTATCAAAACAAAATAAACTTTTAAATTCATTACCAGTTTTCTGATACACGTATTGAATTATATTTAGAAAATGAAAATTTTATTAAAATAAACTTCTAACAAAATAAACTTTTGCCATTCTTGTTCCAATAAGTGTATTAATTAGTATTTAAAAACTAAAAAATTAACTTTTGTCAAAACAAAATAAATTTTTAAATTCATTATTATTCTTCCAATACACATATTGAATAGTATTTAGAAACTAAAAATTTATTAAAATAAATTTCAAACAAAACAAAATAAACTTCAAATTCAATTTATCAATCTTCCAAATATACACAACTCTTTCCAACGATTCCTTGCACCAACTTTTCCAGAAAGCCTGACCTATGAAAACTATACAGTTTAATATGTTTAAATACCACAAAACTTTACTAGTAGTAGCTGGGATTAGTGGCTATTCACTGCATATTGGCATAACTGAAATAGAGTTAAAAAGAGTCTTACTTGTAAGCAAAGTCTCCTGGCAGAAGACTCTGGTACTACTAAGTAAAGAAGTAGCAGACAAGCTCTAGAGCTTTGGTAAGTACTATGAAAGCCTTGGCTAAAGTAGTACTTAGTTAGATATATTTTTCTGTATAGTGTAACTCTTACTGTCTTCCTCAAGTTGGCTGCCTTCTTCTTTTTTTTCTATCTTCAAAGTTTTTCCAACAAAAAGTGGGCAATTTGGTTTGCCCTTTACAAGTAATTAACAGTATTTACACAAACCAAATTAGGAACTGGGAGTTATGTAACCTTCTTTATATGTATTCAGAATAAACAATATATATACCGATTACATATAGTATATTAGTTTTGGATGACATAGAGACTTCGATACTCAGTACTATATAATTTTTACTAGGCTACTATAGCTAAACTACATATTGCACATTTCTTTTTTTTTCTTTTTTTATTATTTTTTTTTCTTTTCTCTTTTTATTATATGTATTTTCTTTGTCTCCCACAAGGTGTACCTGTCAAGGTTACCTTATTTTTTTTTTGCTTTTTTTATCTTTGTCTATTTATATTAGAATTACTTTTAAAACATATTTTTTTTCTCTTCTTTTATATGTTTTTTTTTTTTTTTTTTTCTTTTTTCTCTCTTTCTAAATATTTTTTTTTCTTTCATAAACATGGCATTTATTTTTTCTTTATATAGAAGTAAAAAATAAACTATTCTGCCCGGATCTAGATGAAAGAAGTTTTAAAAAGAGAATAGGTAGTCTTGATAGGCCAGCAGAAACTTTCTAGTGATATATTTTTTTTTTTAATTGCAGAAAGGAATTTTATGTAGAAAAATCTCTACTTATAGCAGATCACATATAGGTGTCTATTGGATAACCGGGTAAGCTAAAACTTGTATTTAGGTATCGATAGAATTATTCTTTTAAAAAATTTTAATATTTCCTAGAATAATATTAATTATTCTAATAAAGTTGAGACAAGATTGCTGAATTTTCAAAAAAAAAAAAAAAAAAAAAAATTTGTCAATTTTCTAATATGCATATTGATAGTATTCAAAGATTTAAAAATTTATTAAAATAAACTACTATTCTATATAATGTAAACTCTTACACTCCTTGTTTTGATGCTTACTTTGGCCGGTCATTTTTACTATCACCTATTTGTGCTTTCAACAAAATTTTCAGAAAAAGTGGGCAAAACAGCTTACCCCCATCAAAAAATTGGCATTGTTTACTCCTAAATTTAGTTAACTTAGTAGATTGCAACCATGTGTTTTGTTTAGTAACAAATATATCACTACTCCATGTGACAAAGTCTATCAACTAGTCTATGGTTAAAGGTATACCTGGAATTGGTTATATAGTCAAAAAGAAACCCATACATTAAGGTAGAGTCTTACAATAGAGATATACAGATATTGCATTTGTTATATAATTTTTAAGCCTTGTACAGATTATAATAATACTATTAGATCTTTTTTTTCTTTTTTGTTTTTTTCTTTTTTGAAATCTGTAGTTTTTTTTTTTCTTTCTTTTTCTGTTGTTTGTTTTTTTTTTTTTTTGTCGTGTTCATTAAAGAACTTTTTATTTCTTCCTCTCTTTTTGTCTCATACCCCTTGAGAAGAAGGAAAAATTAGGAAGAAAATTAGTCCTAATATTTTAGTTCTTTAAGAGCTAGCACATAATCTGAATCATCCGTAAATCAGTGCAATGGTCACAGCTAAATGCTAATAGATAACTGGATAAGGTTGGGCTTTTAGTTGCGGATATGTTGATTTTCAACTATAATTTGTCTTTCAAGATTAATTGTAAACTGTACACAAGTCTTGGCAAGATCATCAAAGAATAAAAAAAAAAAAATGTATTAATCAACTTTTTCTAACAATTCCTTATACCAAAAATTACAACAAACTTTTTCTTAAAAAAAATAGTAAATTATGGTAAAAAGGAGAAATACAAAACTGATAAAAACTATAAACTAGCTTTTGTTATTTAGAAATAGTTCTTATATGCTACTTGCTAACAAGCTTAGAGCTTATTGCTTACTATAGAGACAGTATTTGTTATTTAGAAGTAGTTCTTATATACTATTTGCTAACAAGTTCAAAGTTTATTACCTACTAACAAAAAGATTAGCAATTTACTTGGCTCTATATGTTCTATTGCTTTTAAAGAAAAATATCTGCTTTTTTAAAAAAAGTATAAAAACTATTTTCTATACTATTACCCAGTATTGTATATAAGACAATTTTGGATATTTTTTCAATTAAAATTACTCAAAATTTTATTAAGATAATTTATTTTAATTTTTTCATAAATAAATCTAGTATCTAAAAATATATATAATTATATACTGTATTTTTTTAAATTACTTTATTAATTATTTAAACTTGGGATATAGGTTTAGACAATTTTGAACAATCTTGAATATTGAATATTTTATATAGTGTAAACATGTTCTATATACAACATGCTATTACCTACTTGTTTATTCTACAAAATTTTTAAAAAAAGTGTGCAAAACAGTTTACTTCTGTCAAAATATTAATATTGTTTACTACTTCCAAATTTAGACAAACCAGTAAATTGCAACTACATGTTTTGTTAAAAAAACAAATACATTGCTACTCTATATAACTTGCAAGAACCTAGCAACTAATAGAAGTTGTTGAGTTAGAAATTGGTTTAGCTTAATTTTACTTTGCATTTAGAGATATATAGTAGTAATATTGTATTTGCTATAAAATTTTTACAAGCCTTGTACAGATTATAATAGTATATATTTTTTTTTGTTGTTTTTTTTGTTTTTTTTTTTATTTTTTTACACTACTTGATAGTTATACTTTTTACTTTGTTAGCCTGTTTTGGGCTTAGCTCTTTGTTTTTTTTTTTTATATTTATTGGTTCTTCATTTTTATTTTTTTATAATTTTCTTTTTCATATTAGTTGTTTTTTTTTTATTACTTCATTTTCTTCATAATATTTAATCTGTATAATTAGTACAGAGCTTTCTTTTTTTTTGAGTTTGGTAAAAAAAGGATTTCAAAGAGTTTAAGCTTAAGATAGGCTAACAAAGTCTTCTAATTTGGTTTAATATTGATGTGACAGATTACATTTGAATATATATTATACAACTAAGTAATATTAAACTAGAATCTTAGATGTATAATGGTTCACTATTTAGAAAGTTTATACTTTCTGTTTAGTGATCCAAATCATTAGTTAAAAAATCTAGTTGACAACTAGTTAACTAATTGATTAGAAATTTTTTAATCAACAAAGCGTTGGTTGATTATCTATATAATAAATTTAAAATGTAGAATTTTTTTAGCCAATCAGAACGGTTTAAAATAATACAGAAAACACATAATTATTTATCATGCCAATTAAATTTATTAAAAACATGTAACTATTAGTTGCAACTAATTAACAACTAATTGATTGAAAAAATTTTAATCAACTTGGAATACTATTTCTGTTATTCTAATAAAGTCTGTGAACAGTTTTGGCAAGGCTGTCAAAGGTTTAAAAAAAAAAATTGTATTTTTTTTGCTAAATTTTACATATAAATTTGAATAAGTCAACTTATTTGATTTATATTAAATAGCAACCAAAGAAGACATGTTTTATGTCTGCTATATACGTATAATATAAATAAATATTATTATTAAATTTAATTACAGTATTTATATACTTTAAAAATTAAATAATTATTGTATTTTATGCCAAATAATACGTATAAGAAATCAATTAGTATAAATTTGAATTCTGCAATTGCCACCCTAGCCAAACCGATTAAAACCGGTTTTAACGTTTAAAAATGAAACCGTTACCGGTTTCAAACTCCAATTAAGACAAAATATTTGTAAAATAAAGACGTGAACATAAACAAGCCAAAATGGACCGTGCCTCTAAGAGATAATCAAACAAACCGATTGACCAATCTTGGCTTCAGTTCGAGTACATTTGATTGGTTAACGTTATAACTCCGAGATTTATTCTTCCCGTGGAATTTATTAGAACCACTGGCTTATTGAAAAAATCTGGAAGTCCAGTGGGGTTCCAGCTTCCAGTCAATAACACTGGAGACTCTAACCGTCCGCCCCTTCCCCTTGTAGAAACTAAAGACATTCATAATACATCTATTTACAATGCAAAACTTCGCTGATGGATTTTCAACAACCGATATCTCAACCTATACCAGTGATATTCGAGCTTGCATTAATTTTATCTACAATCAAGGTTCGAGCAACTGGTTCAAAATGTTATATACTTATAGTGACATAATCGCTTCTCAAATGGAACGGGTCGAAGCTAGTTCCTTTGATCAGCTCATTAATATGCTTACATCCCCTCACGTGTTTAAACAAACTAATGAAGTTTATATAGATATATTACGATCACTTTCATCAAATAACTTTCTTTTCGAACAACTAATGAATCATATACTAGTCTCCAGGGGAAACCATAATTTTTTGTCTTATCTCAAACTTTTAGGTTCTATTCTAACTGTCACACCCATCCCTATTGAATATGTAAAACGAATTCATAATCGTCTTAATCAAGTATTGAAAAAAAAGACCCCCGAAATTGAATTTAATGTATTCGAGGAAGAATACTATATTACAAATCTTAAGAGATTGCATAATAAAGCAAATATATCAAATTACAATACTGATAAGATTGATTTGACTCCCGAATATTATGATGGCCTTGAAACTGTGATTAGCTATATTACAAATAGAATTAAAAAATCATTGGATCCCTCGTTTGAAGAAATTTTTGATTTGGAGGCCCTAATACAAGAACCGGTGATTCCACGTAATCTTATTGACAGATCGTGGAATATTAAATATCCAGAAGTCTATTGGGGTGTACATTATGATTTACTCAGGCATGAACTTGTAGAACCTCTCAAAAGGGCAAGCGCTGCATTTTACGCTACTTTTAATTCAACCTCACCTGGTAGACCCTTTAATAAGTGCGTCTTCTATAAAGACGTACGGGTGATACATTCATATATTCGTGCCGACTGTCAAGTTTTGGTTAGGGTTAGATTCAAGCCAAGTCGGCCGGTTGATTGGTATTCAGGTCAACATTTGATGTATGGAGCTTATGTTCTACTATTTAAGATCGATTCCAAGTCCAAATGTGTCGATGAATCATCTTTAACTTTTGCGTATGTGGAGGATTTTGACATTAACGGTCTTGTAACAGCTGAAGGCGAGTGTTATATTGGATTAAATTTCGACATTGATCGGTTTAAAAAGCTAGATTTAGGTGGAAAATACTTTATGTTCGAGTCACCGGTTCAATATCGCTACGTGAAGACATGTCTTCAGTGGTTAGCCTCGAAGGAAACAGATGATTTTATTGAAATGCCATTGAGACAAGAAATTTTTGGTATCGGAATAACTCGGTCATCAGATTTTATTCCGCATTACTTGAGAAAATGTACGTTGGATCTTGCTCCGATTCTTTCAAATGATAAACACTTTCATATTGTAGTCGGACAAGATAAATGGCCACAATATGAAGGAGCGAATGGAGCTTCGTCATATAATGTTGAAAAATCTATAAAAGATGCACTTGAGCATATTATATATTCCAGAGTGGCTGTTATTCAGGCGCCTTCTGTCACATCAAAGTCTATCTTAGTTTCAAGGGCTACACAACTCATTACTCAAGCATTTGGACGACGTCACTTACCAAGTCCGATAATTATTTTGACCAAGACTTCCTTCGTACTTGACAAAATACTTGAAGAACTTCTTCCAATATATCCACAATTAGTGCGGCTAGGTTCGTCTGAATGTAGAAATCCTCTTCTAGCCAGTAGACAAATAAATAATGTATCAAAAGAAAGACTCCGCGCTCGTAATCAGTTAGGGTTGCAAAAAGTACAGAAACTTGAGTGGCTTAAATTGAGAGGCAAATTGATTGATATTAGTAACGATATAAAGTGTCAATCGATTCAGAGATTTAGGTGTTTGTCTGATGAAGAATTTATTAGGAATTCTCCAAATAATTTTAAATCCCAATTAGCTGAAAAAAAAACAGATAATAATGAAGCATTACAGCGATATGATGAACTGAAGGAAAGATATAAGAAATGGATATCGGAATGTGAAACTTCACTGGATCCATTATTTGATATAAGCGAAGATATGATCAATAAGCTCAAGGAATCATATCTTTTTGGCAACAACTTTGATGACGAAGACGAAGATATTGTGTCAATATTGTCTGAAGACGAAAAAAATCTGTTAAATCTTGTCACTGAGGATCGATTCATCGATTTAATCGATGAGGATATACCAGAACAGCAAGAAATATGGTACAAAAAGATTAATATTGATCACACAAGTAGAAATAACAAATTTTCTGATTTCTGGATCACCACTAAAATCCCGGATGATATTTGGTCTTTAACATCGGAGGAGAGGAAAAAAATTCGTTTAAAATATGATTACGCAGTCAATTCTCATTTTAATAGTACTATTAAAGAATTACACATGCGAGCTCTTGATATAAGCTGTAAATTGGATCATCTTCGTTTGATTAGATGGTCTGAAATTGTTCAATTTGCTCCGATAATCGGTATTACTATGACATATGCACCAACGTTTCGTGAAATAATTCAGAATTCAGGTTCAAGAATTTGCATTGTTGATGAAGCTTCAGACATACCGGAAGCAGAGTTAATGTCGACTTTGAGCTTAGACAAGCTTGAACATCTTATTTTAATAGGTGACAAACATATGTCTAGGCCAGATGTTAGAAGTGTGATAGCTCAGCGTGGTCATAGGGACGTATCATTGTTTGAACGATGGATGCTGATTGGTGGAAAATCTGTTGAGTTAACTCAACAAAGTCGTATGCACCCCAAAATTTATAAACTTGTGAACGTTCTTTACAATTGTAAGCTGAACATTGATTCTCGAGCCAATAATATCCCATCTATCCCAGGTATAACATCAAATTTGTTTTTTATGAGCCACACACGTTGTGACAAGGTTAACGGAAATGGGGTAATACGAAATGAATACGAGGCCGAATTCGTTGCGAATTTCGCCTTTTATCTTTTTCAACAAGAGCATCATTTTGATCCACAACGAATCACAATTTTAACCCCTTTTAAGGCACAAAAACAGTTAATTTGGAGTAAGCTTGATCCTAAACTTAAACAGAATTCTGTTATAACTATTCGTCCTCCGCGACGTGGTGACAATGGAATACAAAAGACTCTGGGTAAAATTAGGGTTAAATTAATTGACGAATATAGAAATGAGGAAAATGCGATAGTCATTCTATCTTTAGTTGGTGTGGCAGAGCCATTACGTGAAAAAG